GCACCCATTGGAGGCAGCTATTGTCGACATTAAGAATGCATGATTGCCCTAACCGGTTTGGCTCAGTGTGGATAGAGCGTCGGCCTGCAGACTGAAGGGTCCGGGTTTGATTCTGGTCAAGGGCATGTACCTTGGTTGCAGGCACATCCCCAGTAGGGGCTGTGCAGGAGGCAGCTGATGGATGTTTCTCTCTCTTTGATATTTCTACCTCTCTATCCCTCTCCCTTCCTCTCTGTAAAAAATCAATAAAATATATTAAAAAAAAAAAAAGAATGCATGATTTACAATGCTGACCAAGATGTGTTAAAACTGGCATTTTCCTCCACCAAGAGAATAAATGCTACAGTTTTTCCTGGAAAGCAAATTTTTGATATGTGTAGAACCTTAAGACTTTTTTTTTTACATTGTATTCCCACTTCTGACAGTCTTAAATGCAAAGATTTTTGCCGTATTACTTGTAATAGCTAAACAACAGGGAAATGGTTAAATAAAAGGATGAGTCATTAAAAACTAAAAAAAAAAAAAGGAATGCATGATTTAAAATAAGCCGAACAGCTAACATGTACTCTGCTTCTAGAACACACTCAGAAGTGCGCGCGTTAACCTTTATTTGCACCTCAGAATAACATTAGCTTGGGTGGTATGTTTACTCTCCGCCAGCTGAAGCCCAGGGACGTTTGCCCCGGCCACACAGCTCTCAGGAGACCCAGGCCGGGAAGGGGAAGCCAGCTTTTCAGACCTCGGGGCCTCCGGACCCCCCAGAGACAGGTGTTCAGCCTTCAGATGAGCAGGGCACCCCAACACAGGCCACGGGGGTAGCACTCCTTCCTGACCACGGATCTGACCCAGCCTGGTAGGGAAGCAGGTTTTTCCTGATTGCCTGACTTTAAAAAGCTCGCACTCTGGCTCTCATCTGATTTCAGCCCGCTGACATTGACGTCCGTGACTGGGGAGTTTAAGATCCTGGTTTAGGCCGCCTTGCACTTTTGATAGACATCGGAGGTTCAGGGCCCTGCGATGCTGGGCCCCCCGGACCACCAGGGCCAGGTGTCCAGTGTGCTTCGGGCTCACCGTAAGAGTGACAGCAGGTCATTTAG